CCTGGTCGCATGGAAAAAAAAAAGGCAAATTGAACTCTTTCAATGCTCTCGAGGCAACTAATGGTCACGATCGATAAAAGACTATCCTACAAAGAATAGGGATAATTCTAAGGAGGATGTGTGAAAAAAATTAGGTTAACAATCACCATGGGAGATAGTCGATTATCAAAATACATATAGAACTATTAATGTAGATAGCACTCTTAATCACGCATTTTTTTTTAATTCTACTTCTAATGAAAAGGAGTGTATTGATTCATATTTTTAAGAATAAAGATGATGCACAAGAGTGTGCGAATTATAAAGGAATTAAGTTATTGTGTCATACTTTAAAACTTTGGGATAGAGTTATTGAGAATAGGTTACAATATGATACTAATGTTCATGCCTAGGATTCTCTACCATAAGAAACCCTAGATCAAATTTCCTAAGGAGAGAGCTCTAGGGTAAGTCCTTAACCAACTTATTCCTCTCAACCAACGCAAATAAAAATTTTAAAATATTAAGTGTGTCCCCCACATCCTTAATCTCCCACCACAATAAGTGGAAACGTTGGATCACCTCTCCCAAGGCTACATTAGGCAAGTTAACCGATAAACCCAAATACCTATAATAAAGAGTAATCTAGTGGCTTTCAAAACTTAAAAAATTGCATTCAAATAAGAATCATAAGATGAATATTGCATATCATTTGATCTATCATATTTTGACATAGTTGCGTTTTTTCCCCTTTTAACTTCCTTTCTAGTTTGGGGCTTTTCATTATGATAATTAGTAGCAAGTAGAAAAATGAATATTTCTGGTTATGAGTGCTATCAGCTTAACATCTATGGAATGTGGCATTATTTCTAAAAAATTTAATAAGAATCCCGCCTACTAAAGTATCAAATACAAAAGAAGGATAAGGGCAAGAATCAAGTCAAACATTTGGAAATATAAATTAGGAGATATAAGGATGATTAGTATATAATACTATTTAACATAAATTTACTTAACAATTAATAAAAGAATTAGAATCTGGATTCTTTATGAATGAAGATCATTCTATTAACTTAAGTGCTAGAGTTAAAAAATATTCTAAAAGAGTGGAAAAGGAATCGCAACACAATGGTAACGAATTACAATGATAACAATGAAAGAAAAGCTAGTTTTGTATGAGTTAAAATCTTGTGAAAAAAATGGATATCCCAAATATTTCATACTCAAAAAGGTGCCTCTCCTGTTTGCTTTGAGCTTTACATGATAAAGTTAATATTCACAAAATCATGAAGACTAACTTTCAAGAAATGAGAAGGAATGTGTTTGGACGGCTAAAAGCATTCCACTCCATTATGAAGAAAGTATGAATGAAAGTACTCACAGTTTTAAGGAATGCAGCCGTGCTTTTTCCTGGTCGAACAAGCGGGATTGAAGCACCTTGCCGTTTTAACTGTTCACTCACATCGTCGGGATCTAGTTGTAGAAAGGTATAATAATAGTTGAAGAAAGCTATCAACAATATATTTGTTGGAAGATATAAAGCCCCTGTAAAAAGCAAAAAAGTAAGGATCAAAATTCATCTGATAATTATTTTCCTTGAAAGTGTCATTAAAATCTAAATTGGCATGTTCTGAATTGCCCTAAGATGGATTTTGACAAAAGGAAACATGATCTTAGCATGCATTTTCCAACTAGTGAATGTCTAAAATTTAATATAGCATTCATAAACGTTGAGAACGCCATCAGGAAGAAGTGTGAAAAGAAAACATCAGAGAACACAAGCCAGTGACAAACCAAGTGAATAAAAGTCTTTGATTATGCGATTTCCAGCTAATTCTACGCCTCACCTCCAGGATTTAGTGCAAGTGCAGCCTTTTTAAGAGCATCTAAACCAGTGAAGCGTGCCAGAGTAGCAGGCAATGCTAATGAAGATGTGGAAAATATGATAGGCATCACACCAGAACTATTCACCTGCAAGAAAATTGAAAAACTATGAGAATGGTAACTATACTTCTCGAGATGCAGAAGACAACATAGAGATAAATTCAAAAGAATAGAAAATATAGAAAAAAATTCGATACAGGGAGCAAATTGAAATTCAGTCTCTAAATGAAGTATAACAGACTCTGTCAACAGATAGTCCGCATTCTAATCATTTTTATTAGATAAGTAGTTATCTTTGTTGTCACACAAGTCGTAGAGATGCACTTATAAAGTAAATACTATATAACATACTGGAGATGCTAGACAATTAACATGATAAATAATTAAGTAGCTGTAAGACTATTAATACTAAAGAAAAATAAGATTGTCAAAAGAAAAATTAAAATCTAACTTTCCTCAAAAGACTCAGTCAATGCCCTGCCAACCCACAAAACCTCACACACGGACCTCCTCCACTTTCTTTTCCACATCCAGGAGCCTCTTTCTCATCCTGCAATTAAATTATGAAACTACGAGATGCTGTATTCGGTGGAATTGGAAGGATTGCATAAATTTGAGGGGTGATGATTCAATAAATGGAACATTATGTGCAGATTAAGCAGATAACATTTCCATTTGGTATCTTGCAAAATGCTTCTATTCACTACAAAGTTCATTTCACATGAAAACTAGTGAAATGATAGAAACATACAGAACAATAAGAGGAGATTTAAGGTGGTCATTTCATTAAATTATGTATGACAAGAAAAATCAAAATAATGCCTTAAATTTGAAGAACTACACATCAATGCAGAATATTTGCAAAAGTTTTTATCTAAATCGCAAATAATTAGCTAAATGAGAAATGAGTGATGACGTGAATAACCAAAACAAAGAGAAAATATTTATGTAAACCTTAAAAGGTAGGTATGCAGCTTTTTGAAGGCCCCCACTCCTGCTGCTGTATCTTGAAGCATAATTAAGCGGTATTTTTCTCTCCGCTTCCTAAAGTCCAGTGTTAAATACTTTAGAAGATGAAAATAGAGAAGAAATAATAATAATAATAATAATAATAATAATACCTGCACATACACAATACCAAGAACTAATATGAGGAATGAGATGACAATGGTAGTCAATCCAATGTAATTTCCATCTTGAAATGCTTGGGAGACCGTTCTTCCAAATGACGCAGGCAAATACGATATAATGCTTGTAAATATCAAAAGTGATGTTCCATTTCCAAGTTTTAGGTCAGATATCTTTTCTCCAATATATGTAGTCAAGACTGATCCAACTGTCAGCAAGGTTACTGACGATAACACCCACTCTGTGCTGAAATCATTGACATAGGGACGTAGGTAAAGGACTTGACCAATAGCCTTGCAACCAAACGAGCATGATATCAACAGACTGAAAGGTGACAAGTAGTAACAAATTCATACTAAAAGTTATAAGTACTAATGAAATTCTTTTTTTTTTTTTTCTAAGTAAGAAGGCTGGTCAAAGAACACTCTGACAATAGTAGTAGGCTCTGAAGCTGTAATTTATGATGCTAACAGCAACTTAATAATTATCATAACAAATTCTAGTATCAGATTTTCAAAGTACTAATAAACATGAAAGAAAATGACGCCGGAGCGTCACATACATGTATTCTGTTTA